CTCAAAAGGTTATTATATATTTTTCATGAAGCAATCATTAACCCAAAGAAAAACCTGATAGACCTTAGCCACCAACACTTAAAGTTTTTCTTCCAATAGTTCAAATCCATTCCCATATGGATACATTGGTTAAAGAGCTATGAGAGATACAACAAAGTTTCTTTTGTTTCTTATATTATTCTCATATTTTATAGGCTTTGCAGTTACTTGGCGAATGGATCTCAGTATTTTTTATATATGACAGTTTATAACTTATAAGGTTATTCATTATTAGATTTCATGTTTGATCACCCTCAAGAGTATGCAAGTTTCAAAGATGAATGTGTAAAATGAACTAGAAAATTCTTCCTCAAATTTGGCCAAAACTCTAAGATGATGTTCCATGAGGTAACAACCCCTCGAATTGCAACTTTCAACTCAAAATTGACAAAAAGATTTGTGAGACCAGATATAATAGTGCATGGCAAAAACCTTTTCTTAAAGATATAAGGTATGAACTTGATCGTGCTGGTCCAGTTGAATGGAACCCATATTAGAAACCTCTTGAAATTATCAAGAAATTAGACTGAAAAAACTCTTAAGATCCATTTGATTTAGATGGTAATTTTGATCAAGACAAATGGTTAGAAAACTATGGTTATGATTTTATTCCAAGTGCAGACAACTCCCATATTAATTTTTCCCTAAAGCATTTTTTTCAACACTATGATGCTCAGAATAAGAACGTTTTTTATTGTAGTCCAAGATATGTATAATTATGTTTGATTTTGTTCAGTGTGCGAGCTTGAAGTCCCTCTACATCAGCACCAACATCAAGACAAGATTGTCATGCCAATGTCAACTTTGTGTTATGCCAATGTCAACTTTGTGTCAAGTATCAACTTTATTAAAACTATTTTAATAAAGAAGATTTTCTCAACTTTATTAAAGTTACTTTATTAAAGTTATCTTATTAGTTTGTTTGTATTGCTTTATGTTTTTGTCATAGACCCTTTTTATCATATTAGGTCCTATTCATTACTTTTCCAAGTCTATTTAAGTTGTAACTCCTTTATTATAAAAGCATGGTCTTAGTTATCAATAATTTCTCTTGTAAGACACCCTTTGTGAAATATTAAGCATTAGTTTCTAAAACTTCTATGTTGCCTATTTCCTTTTATCCTAGTCTTAATCTTAGAGTTAGTTTTTGGTTCTAGATCATGGTTTGAAGTGACATAAATTAATATGCTCTATAATTGTCATAGTACTATGGATCTTTTGCATTAAAATTTTGATGAAATTGTAAAACAGATCATTGATCTACTGATTGGAAAAAGTTACTGTATCGATGAATACTAGAGTAAGCTACTGTAGTAAAAAGCATAGTTCTATAAAAATTAGGCCACTTGCTCAATTTTATACCAGGAGGGCACTTAGTCTTGAGCATCGACTAGAATACCTTGGTCTTATGCTTGATCTATAGATTGCTTATGTTTGGCATCTTCTTAAAAAATGTAATCAATCCCCTTTAGTTGGGACTTTAGGCTATTTAAAAATTCTCCATCAAAAGCCAAATACTTCTTAACACAAACAAAAAGCCAAAACACACTTAAATAAAACTGTGAGTGCATTTTCACTTACATATCTACTAATAGACATGTAAAACCCAAATAGTTTTTTAAAGACTTTATTTGTTGTATAATGAAATTAATTTATAGTTGAAACTCAACTTTAATGATCTTAATATGAACAAGAAAAGATAGATAAAAATTAATTAAAGTAAAATAAAATAATGTGGACAAAATTTAATTTTAAACGATACTATAGGAGTCCATTTTGCACCTCTATGTCTGTATAGACCTAGCATTTTCTTTTTCAAAAGAAACGAATGCATCGAAGAAGTTTCCTTTCAATCTCCATCAGTTTCCAGTTTCTTGATACTTTGCTTGGAAGTTAGAGCCTTTAACCAAACATAAGGAATTCTTAGTAGGATGTCAAAGAGTCTGTGCTTGCAATTGGAACTAAAAACTAGTGCATCATCATAAAATTGCAAACTGATTTTGAAAGTTAATGAAGATTTCTAGGTTTAAAAATTTACTTCATGTACAAAAATTGGACTTGAAAATTGCTAAATATAATTCTAAGGTCCACAATAAGCAATGAAAATTTCCATTATTTATTGGGAAAAAAAGCAATAATACACTTTGCCTAAAAACACATGTTAAGACGATAAGCATCAGTTAAATCTTGAACTTTGCACATTGAACCCTTAACCCTAACCTTGAAACTCTAAATCAAACCCTAAACCCCAAATCTCAAATTCAATACCATAGACTTTAAAGCCTAGACATGGAACCCTAAAACTTGAACCCCAAACACTAGACGATGAACCTTGAACCTTGGACCCTCGACTCAACACTTAAACCCTAAACCCCAAACTCCTAACCCTTAAATCAAAATAAAAAACCCAACCATTGCATCACAAACCCCATATCTTATAACCTATAACCTAGACCTCAAAACTCATATTAGAGACCCTAAACTTTGAACCTCTAATCCTAAACCTTAAACTTTGGATCCCAAAACATACATTGAACCCTAATCCTTAAATCTTAAACCCCATAACTTAAAATCAATGATGGGGTTAGTATGTTGAAGTTCCTATCATTTTTAGCTAGGGTTGGAAGAAGGTATTAATCAGTTATATTGTAAAAAAATCTACTCATTTCTCCTGCAAATGGTTCATTTGGTTTTGTTATTTTAGTTAGTTCAAAATCTTGAAAATTTAGCATTACTAATACATTTAGATACTTAAGCTTAAAAAATGAAATTTCTTAACTAAATCTTGAAAATTTCTTAATTTAAATGTCCAATTCCTAACTTGTTACTTAAGTTGGAATGCAGAGGGATACAATGATGTTTTTTGTTTGCTTGTGTTTTTTCTAAGCAGTGTGGCATAAGATCGTTTTCACTTTTTCTGTTTCTAGAGTTCACATCAATTGAGATTTTGATCTCAATTCCCAACTTTAAAAGTTAAATCATTCAAAACTACACTGATGAGATTTGTTTAGACAATTGCTATATATTTTCTTTAGCAAAAGAGAAATTCTCAAAAGCATTTGGCTAGAGAGAAAATTTTAGAGGATGTATTTCATTTGGTTGTTAATGTTGTGATAATTCCTTTTTACTTTTATTATTTTTGTAAATGCTAACGATCTATCTTAAGTTCTTTGTGAAAATTGGAGTATTAACCAACTAAGTTAGAACTTTAATGGCTTTACCTCCTATAGTGACTATGTAACATATATATTGATATATGCCTATCTTATTTTTAACGAAATTTTTTCAATTATAAAAAAATTGTTATAGAGCTAAAGGGCAAGATTTGAAAAAATTTTTGATTTTTGACTAGAATATAAGAAATCTTTGTAGTCAACTAAATTTATCATCTTATCTCTAAAACCTATATTTATCATATCAATCTCATATCTTTTTATGTTAATTAACCGAGCCTTTCAATGTTTATCTACAACCAATTCCATATTTTAATTAAGGTTAAAATAATATGAAAAAAGTCTTGAATTTTATAAATTTTCTTAAATAAGGCCTTTTATTTTTATTACATTTCAATAAAGTTAATATTTAATTTATATTCAAATAAACCTTTAACTCTTAATTTATATTTAAATAAAACCTTAAACTTTAAATTTATGTTTAAATAAGCCCTTAACATAAATATTCTTTCATTTAAAATAAATATTTATTTAGATATAAATCATAATATAAAATTTTATTTAAATATAATAAAAATATACAAATTTATTTAAAAATAAAATAATTCAAGAATTTTTTTTTTAATATTTTAGCCTTTAATTAATTGAGACTTTTCTCTTATCTTCCTTGTATTTCTTGCCCTTTTCATTTTATTCCTTGACACTTCCTACTAAATTATTGATCAAAATAAATACTGACGCCAATTAGCCTTGAATTTAGCTTTTCGCAATTAAAACCGACACCAAAAGCTAGATTTAACCAATTAAGTTTTTCTTTTTCTCTTTTTTCTTTCATTCAACCATTCCATTTCTTTCAAAGAGCTATGACAATCATCGTTGCTTTCAGCAGCTCTTCCTTTTTCACTCATTCCTCTACGCTTTTGTTAATCTATCGTGATGATGTCTCCAAACGATGACCTGAATTCCATTTGTGAAAGCCTTCAATTATCCTAAACCCCAAAAATCACTAAAAGCTTTAAAATCCTTAAAATCATCCTGAAACCTTAAAAAACTACTAAAAACTCTAAGAATCCTAAAACCGTCCTAAAACTCCAAAAACTGCTAAGAACCTTAAAAACTCCAAAATCATCCTAAAATCCTAAAAAACCGCTAAAAATGTTGGTTGGACATAAAATAAAAACAATTACTATATAGTCCTGCTGAATTAGGTGCAATAGATGTGGGGTGAAATTTCTTGATGCATTCATTTGTTATGTACTATATTTTATTTTTGTTTCTTACTAAAATATCGTGCTATAGTTGAGAGTAATGGAATCTACGAGCTATAGAAGATTGTTTGTTGTTGAATTTGAAATGTCTGAAGTGAAAAAATTAAATATTTTGTATGTTTTTGTCACATAAGACGCATTGTCAACCATTGTTTGTCTTTTGACCTTTATGTTTTAAGTATTATATTATTAAGCATAGATATTCTTGCATTAAATAGAACTAAAGTTTTATAGCGTGACTTTCTTACTAAATTCTAGCTAATGGTTTGAGACAATTTCTCATCAAAAGTACTTTTTTAATTTAAAAAATTGGTTAAATATATATATATATGCTTATATTTAGTTAAATGTGCCCTTTGGTATTTGGTTAAATATGTCTACTAATGATTTGAGACAATTTCTCACGAGTACTTTGAGACAATTTAATTGTAACCTGGACGTGTAACACGGTTTACATACTAGTAAATAATAAAAGTGGGCAAAAGAATAATAAATAATAAAAAGTTTTAGCTGTCGTTTCTTAACCTCCGTTTCATTTTCCTTTCTTTTCTGTTTTTCCGCCTGCACGAACCTTCCCCTCTTCTCTGAAAAGTATTGAGAAACAGACTCTTTCATCATTGACCTCCCTCTCCTTTCCTTCCTTACAAAATTATATTTCAGGATAGAAAAGTGAAAAGAAATCAATATTAGAAAAATAAAGAAATAGCAAGGATGGATGAGAAGAAGGGAGAAATGAGACCCAATCATCAACCACCACCAGCAGCAGGTGGCTCCTCCTCATCAGCCAATAGGAACCGTCCACGTAGACGAGCCAACCTAACCCTACCTCTTCCTCAACGTGACCCATCTCTTGCCGTCCCTCTTCCGCTTCCTCCAACCACCAACTCCGCTCCATCAACCGCCTCCAACGTTAACGCAACAGCTCACCAAGTCAACTTCTCGGAACTCGACCGGGTCAACCGAATAGGAAGGGGCACGGGAGGCACCGTTTACAAAGTTGTCCACCGCCCTTCGTCTCGCCCTTATGCCCTCAAAGTCATCTATGGAAACCATGAAGAATCCGTCCGCCGTCAGATCCGTAGGGAGATCGAGATCCTCCGTGACGTGGATCACCCCAACGTCGTCAAATGCCACGAAATGTACGATCACAACGGCGAAATCCAGGTCCTTTTGGAATTCATGGACGGCGGATCCTTAGAAGGGACCCACATATCTCAGGAGTCTAACTTATCAGATCTAGCCCGACAAATCCTCAGCGGTCTAAGCTACCTTCACCGGCGACACATCGTTCACCGCGACATAAAACCCTCGAATCTGTTAATCAATTCGAAGAAGAAGGTGAAAATAGCTGATTTCGGGGTGAGCCGAATCTTAGATCAAACCATGGACCCATGTAATTCATCGGTGGGGACCATAGCTTACATGAGTCCCGAAAGGATTAACACTGATTTGAACCATGGGCTCTACGATGGTTACGCTGGGGATATTTGGAGTTTAGGGGTTAGCATATTGGAATTTTATTTAGGAAGGTTTCCTTTTGCGGTTGGGAGACAAGGGGATTGGGCCAGTCTTATGTGTGCGATTTGTATGTCTCAGCCACCGGAGGCGCCGCCCAGTGCTTCCTATGAGTTTAGGCATTTTATATCGTGTTGTTTGCAGAGGGAACCGGCGAGGAGATGGACGGCGGCTCGGTTGTTGCAGCATCCTTTTATAGTCAGAGGACAACATCAGGTTGCTCAAAATCTACATCAGTTATTGCCGCCTCCACCTCTTTCTTCTTAGTAGTGTTTGTTTGTTTTCTTCTTTTATGAAAAAAAAAAATTTTCTTCTGTAAGTTTTCATAAAATGAGGGGTTGGGGGCAATGTTTTTCCTTCATTTTTCTTTCATTTTTCAGTTAATCAATCTTGGTCCTTTTATAAAAGATAATCTTTACAAATTACAGTATTAGAAAGAAGAAGAAGAAAAAAAAAAAAAAAACTCTGTTATGACTGGCCTTCCCTGGTTTTGTTTATTGTTTATCGTGATTTTCGTCAGTTTGCTTACAGGCTCTTTAAATTCTATTATTATTTGCAAGAGTTGCAATGCAGTTTAGGGGGTTTAGTTAAAATTTTTGGAAATGGCTTGATGATGTGTAGATCGATCTAGAGAAAGTTTAGATTTAGCCTTGGTAAAGAATTGTACTAATCAGAAAAGGGAACGGACGCCTTATATTTGTCTGCCTATTATCTATCCTGGAGACCGGAGCACAGGGGTAAATATAAAAGGGAAAGTTCCATATCTTGGTTTGGATGCATATTATTCTTTGGAATTGTTGTGTTGTTTGTTTGGTTACTTTTTTTTTTTCTTTTTTCTGTTGCAAAAATTGTGCATCAGTGTACCCGTCTTTTTTGTGAGGACATTCTTATTATACGTCTTGTAATAGCTGTCTAGGCAAATGGGAAACCAGGGATTATTGGGTGGAATATCAGGTTTGTCTTCACCATTGTTGTTAATGATTTTTAAGCTTGTTTCACTTCTGCAAAAATATGCTAGGTTTTTTCGCTCACTATTAGATTGTCTAATTGCTAGTTCCTCCGTTGGCCTTTATTTTTAGCTTTTATTACTTCACATGGAAAGTATCCATCTGATTCAAAAGAGTAGAACTTGCATCAGTATCTCAATTTCAATTCAAACATGGGTTTGATTCACACTCCTTGTTATGGGTTTGATTCACGCTCCATGTTATGAGCAATATTTATAAGAAAAACGGTAAAAACGCGAGTCTTTATATAAAGAAATGCATTGAGAAAGGGTGGATGTATAAAACCTTTCATCGAGATGGTGCTCTTTCAACTCTCAAAAACGGAGTTTATTCAAAACATGAATGTCATGCTTCCTTCGACGGATGCCAATATCTAAATTTGATATTTTTAGATACTTTTTCAGACCTATTATTTTGTTTTTTTGGCTTTTATTACTTTACAGGGAAAGTATGATTGGATAAAATTTATATGAATTTCGTGAAGTTTGTGATGTTATATTATAAAAAAGATTTAATAAAAAATTTAAATTGATAAAATTCAATATAAAGATCAATAATATATAAATAAAATTATTTAAAATATTATTTATAATTCAAATTAGATAGATATTTATTTAATGATAAAAGTTTTATTAATACTTTTATTAAAAATATTTATTTAAAAAATACATCAAAATTTTTTAAATTTATTTTAAATTTTATATACTTGATTTATGTAACATAATTATTTATTTTAATTTTTATCTAATTGTATTTAATAAAAAAACTTTATAAATTTCACTTAAGAATTTTAATTTAAGTCTTTTTCAAGTAGATTAGTCATTTTGTAATGAATTCTTTTTCAAGCAGATTAGTCAATTTGTAATGAATTTTTTTTAGATTGGGATAATTCCTACACTTGCTTATTCTCTTTGTTAATTCATACACAGCAAGCATGAGGCATATGTGTGGTGTGGCTGAGTCTGAGTCTGAGGTAGAGACAGTTTTTGTGTTTTTATTTTTGTTTCTTTTAGAAAATGCGTTTGGTGAATTAAAACAGAAGTTGTTTTCTAAATGCAAAGTAGGATATATTTTTATATCAGTTTAAACATAAAATAAAAAATTGAAGTAATAAATATTTTATTAGTTGATAATGTAATATCTAACCTTACTCTTTTAATCTTATTTATATTTAAATTTCACCATAATAGTCTATATCAATTGTATTAAGTTCTAGTATAACAATTTATATTTAAATTTTATTTAATCATTAAAGAGTATATTTATTGTCTCTTATATATGATTTTAAATTTATCAATTTATTTAATAATACGATCAAAGTGTTGTAAAAGAGTAAAAGGAACTTGCTCTAGAACGAAAAAATAAGTTATGAATCAAGAATTCAAAAAGCAAGAAAACCAAATATTTAATATTAATGGCTTTGAAGGAGTTCGAACACGAGCCATTGTCATGATTTGCAAAATGCAAGTAAATAAGTAAAAATATCTCATGGTTCATTATTGAAAATGTCTCTTTTAATTTTCACTTTTGTTTCCAAAAAAACGTTTTCATTTTTAATTGCCAAACACCTTTTCTATCAGCGAGGGCCAAGCTCTGCCTTGGTGCACCACCTGGGGGATTGTAAAGGAAGATTTTTGGCCTTTTTTGCTATCTTTTTGAGCTTCTCGCTCTCTATCCTGCTAAACGGTCTTCAAGAGAATCCTTCCTAGGAAAGAAACAGGAAGAAAATCCCTTTTCAGCTCTAAAGCAAGTAAAGATAAAAGCGCCTCCCATCCCTCGAGGGGGTAAGGGGGGAAACCATCCTTTTGAGTTAGTTGAAGCAAGTCCCTTATGTTCCATCCCGCCTACATTTAAGGGACTGAATAGAATAGGGACCTTCCGTGCTTTGCTTTGGAGCCGTTCTTCAAAACCACAAAACCAAAAACCCGACCTTTAGAATCCCAAATACCCAGTAGGAGCCACCTTCTTCACCCGTCGTGCTCTGTCCGTTTTCCAATTTTCAGTTTTGATTTTTGCCTAACATGCTCTTATTCTGGAAAGTTTTGTTCTGATATGGTGGTTTGGTTTGGTGTCTGGTTTTGTTGAGATTCTTTGCTGTTCCAAAATTTGCTAAGCTTGCTTTAACCTGTCTGTATATTCTCCTGATTAATGTCCAATAATAATTGTATGTACATGCAGCATGCCATTGCCAGAGGGGAAAGTCTCTGAAAAATGGCCTTGCCAGAGGAGTGGCTGCCTGCCTGCCTCTTGCTGAGCTACAACGAGTGGGAGTTGCGCTTTTTAGTAGATTGATTGGATATTGATGTTTAGTTAATTAGTAATTGTAAAAATGTTGTACCGATAATAGCCATTGTAGACATTCAATTGGGTCTAGTTTCAGATTAATTGGGCATAATCCAAATGGGTAAGATCCAATTCAATTTTTATCCTGTATTATTATTTTTTTTTTCTTTGGTATTTTATATATTTTATTATTTATTATTATTATTATGTATTAACATATGTATATCTTTATTTATTTATTTATTTATTTATTTGTTAATATTTATATGTATTTTATTTATATAGTTATATATTTATTATTATATATTTATTATTATTTTTTTTTGTAATATATTTTTGGGTTTATCTTATTTTATTTTTTTATTATTTTTTAAAATTATCTGTTAATTTTATCTGATTTTTTTTTCTGATTATCTTATTAGTATTATTATTTTTTGTTTTCTTTTTTTGATGGCTGTGATTGAAAGTTGAAGAATCATATTGTGAATGAAAATTCAATCAGAAGAGTCCAGATTAGATTCAAAGATTGAATTTCCGTCCAAAGAGAAATTGGGATTGATCAGGAACTCCTGATCAATCCCTATAAAAGGGACCTATGGAACAGAATGAAGAACACACAGTCCTGATCAATCCCTATAAAAGGGACCTCTGGAACAGAATGAAGAACACACAGAACAAAAACAGTGAGCAAAGCTACTGATTTGAGAGAAAAGGAGGCGTATGGGAAGCTAAGAAAAGGTTTAGGAGTGTTCTGGGAGCTAGAAAAATTTTTTTGAAGATTTTTGGCGATTTTTTTTTTGAGAATTTCTGAAAAATTCCAGATTTCGGTGAATTTTCCGACGAAGTTTGAATTTTTCGATGAAAATTCCGGTCAACCTTGAAGTTTTCGACGACCTGCCTAGTTTCCGGCGAATAATCCTAGAAACCGACGAACTTCCGGCGAACTTCCGGCGAAAAAACTCAGATTTTGACGACAAAACCCAGAATCCGATGAATCTTCAACCGGAGTTCTTCGACCTTTTAGAGAGAAGAGAGAGGAAAAAGGAAGGAGAGAGAGAGGGGAGGAGCATTCTACCGAAAAACAGAGGAAAGTGCCTTTTATACCCTCTCAAAACGACGTCGTTTTGGCCTTAAGTGACCCAGAGGATCCGCGCGTTTTACCGTGACCCAACCCGAGCGTCGACCCGTTTCCTGACCCGCGCGTGCCTGCCCCCCTCCAAACCGAGCCGAGTCGAGCTTCAAGCCGCCCCCCTGAGCTGTTTCTCTTCCTTGAATCAAGTCGAGCCGAGCCGATAGCCGAGCCGCTTCAGATTTTTTTTTTTTCGAAATTGCTTTATTTATTTGTTTTATTTATTAGATTAGATTTATTTAATCTTTTTTTTATCTTTATCTTATTTTTATTTTTGTTTTACTTTTTTTTAGTTTTTTTATTTTCACTTTTATCCTATTCTATTTTCTTTAAATAAAAAAATTAAAAAAATATTTTTGGGAAAAAGTTGAAAGTATCAATTTTTCTTAAAAATAAATTTTTAAAAAAAAAAAGATTTTTGAGGAAAAGTTGAAAGTATCAATTTTCCTTGGAAATCAAAATTTCAAAAAAAAAATATTTTTGAGGAAAAGTTGAAAGTATCAATTTTCCTTACACAAGAACAATCATTCTTTCCTTTCTTTCTATTTTGATTTTGATTTTGATTTTTCTTTAACTAATCCGACGACGGAGCCTCTACAAGTGAAACAGTAGTTTTTCTTGTATACTCTTGAGGTGAAGGAATTTTCTCAATTTTCTGCTAAAAGTATTAGAGTCAATTGAAAAAAATTTTCTAATAATTAATTACTTGGTAAAATTTTAAGGCTTTTGGATAATACAAATTTAAGCTGGTACCATCTTTTGATGGGCGTTGTGAGGATGCTATAACCTTCCTCACACGTAACCGAACTCCCGAACCCTGTTCTGGTTAGTAGACTTAAACCTATTCTTTTAGGGACCCTTAAACTTAGGTGTCCCCTAAAAAGACAGATTCTTTAGGTGGCCAATCGCACCTAGATCAAAAAGATTGGTGGCGACTCCCTAAAGTCAATGTCCAGCGATAGATCCCTGGATCTAGACATTATGACAGCTTGACGACTCCGTTGGAGACTTTGAGAGTCAGGCCAGCAAATAATTTGTGTTATCCAAAAGCCTAATAAAATTGAACCCTTTTTGTATATATGTATTATTATTCATTCATGTTTATTTACTTTATTAATTATGTTATTCATGTGCATGTGCATAACATGAGCTCTATACCCGAGCTCCGTCCCTCTAGGAGGGAGTAAAGTACCTATTGCTTTCGTGAGGTCTAATACCTCCGCAGTGGCTAGCGAAATACTCTCACTCAAATTGAACCTTTTCCGCTTGTAGCCTGTAATGGGTGAGGATTAGGATGCCTTACTAGTCTGTGATGGACAAGGATGTAAGGAACAATTTGAGGACCTTTAGACTTTGACCTCAAAATCGCATATAGTGAACCTTAAGAATGCTTAAACCTAGGATAGAGCCTTTTCTACCCAATGATAGATATACCCTGAAATTAAGACACAAAAAAGATGTTTATCTAATCATTTTGATTGTTTAACTTTGTGCATCATTTTCATTATCATATGTAATATTATGCATCAGCATCATTTTCATTTCATCCATGAAACTAACTATGTTGTTTGTCTAATTGTATACATCTGCATTACTTTCATGATCATGTTTTAACACAATCATTTACATCCATTTCATACTAGATTTCATTTAGGAAAATGTACATTTCATTAGTGCATCAAAGCATCAGACATAAAGCATAGCATAACATTTTTAATCATAAGATATGGTGCTAAAGGTTCAAGGATAGCTCCATCTAGTGAAAACCCTGCTCATCCATACAACATAAGATCCAGAGCAAGGCAAATGAAGGAAGAAAATTCTCATAGATTTGAAAAGTTAGAAAAAGCTTAGGAGAAGATTGAAAGTGAACTAAGCAAGATTCTCGAGGCTCTTAATAACATGAATAAAGGAAAAATAGTTGAAGGAAATACAAGCCAACAAGATGTGGCTGACCCTTTGTATCCTCCAGGTTTTGGCCCACCTTAAGCCCAGTCTGCTCAAAAGGTCCCGCCACAATATTTCAC